TTTTACAAAAAGTCAAAGACTTTTCGTGTGCTAAAAGCCCAACTGGATCTCAATCACAGTGTAAAACCAACTTTTATAATTGTTCCTATTCGAACAGTTATTCAAGTAGTCCTAAATCTAATGTTTCTAAGAACTATTCTCGTTCTAATCAGTATTATCAAGGATATGTCAGTGGATCACCCAATTACTCTTCAAAGATTAAAAGCATTTGGATTAACAAGTCTGAATCTGTTTTATCTCATACACCTGTTGTTACTAACAATCTTTCTTGCATTGTGAGATCCACTAATGATCTGATCAATCTTAGCAAGAGAAGGATTATGTACTCAACATGCAAAACCAATAATTTTGTCAATAAGAAAAGGTTCAACAGGTGGCATGAAGATAACAGTTATCAGAACAACTGGAAAGGTAAGAACAGGTATGATCAAAATTTCTGGTACGATTAATATTTTATTTCTGATCATCCTGTTAATAGTGCTGAAAAGAAAATATCGTATAGAAATAAATGGTTTGGTAATTACAACATACCCCAACCTGATACTAACAAAATATGACCCAAGTTCGTTTGGGTACTAAAATCTACTTAATCTGGTTTTGCAGGTGTGTCAAGTTTGTGCTGACCAGAATATCACTTTAATGATACACCAATGCAGGGGGAATTGTAATTTATTCCAAACGAGGCTTCTGAACATTTCAGTTCAGAACCCGTGCTTTACCGAGTGTGGTTTCTAAACACTAATTTTAGAACCCATACTTAAAATATTTTCTTCAAATGTTTTAATTTTTTGAGCTTAACTGATTCATTACTTAAATCTATTTTCTAGGGGGAGACTCTAGAATTCTTGAATAAATGTTTTTGAAAAATGGAATTGTTTTCTGAAACGAGTACATTCTCTGCACAAGTATTTCTTGAGATTTTACTTGCGTAATTTCTTGTCATACATAATTCCAATACCTGTTTCAACTATTCTTCAGACTGTTATTATCACGTCTCTTATACGAAAATCATTTTCGGTGATAATACACTCGTTTGTATTCATTTTTTTTGTTCTATGATATTTTCTTTACATTGATTCATATACATTCATTTTTTTTAATATTAGAATCTGTAAACTTGTTCTTACAGATCTTCATTCATTTCTCTCACATAATTGTCGCATAATTCTTTCATTAATTGTGCTTAAAGCCAAAATTTTTTTGATCAAATTTTATCTGATCATTGTGCTTTAAAGAAATAATATTTTTGATCAACCATTGTGATCAAATGTGCATAAC